CCCCGAGAGGCGAGGAAGTCGCCGGCGGCGCTGCGTTAGCCATTGAGGATGACGATGAGTCCAAGACGAGGAACCACGGCCCGCTTGGTGCGCGGCTTTCGAGGATGCTCTGCTTTCGGATAGCACAAAGCCGTCGTTCTTGTTTCTTACCAGTGGCTTTTCTTCTCATCCTCATCGTTGCTCTCTTCATCAGGCATCACTTTGGCCCAAGGGAATGCGAGTCCCGAGACGGTTCCTTCACCCGCATGGCCATGTTTTCAGGGAGCATTGGCGGGCTAGCCTCCGATTTTGGGATCCTTGGCGTGCCCTGGTGTAAGAGTTCTTCTACTTTTATGGTTTGGGGATTGGGTTTTTGCGATTAATTGGATTGGTCTGTTTCTCAATTTTTCATGTTGGATTTATTTATTTTTCTGTTAATTTTCTCTGTTCTTTATTTTTGAAGTGAAGCAGTTTTAAGTAAAAAAAAATAAATCAGAAAAGTTTCAGGTGACATTTCGTGCTCGTGTGGTTGGAAATAGGCTGTGTTTGATGAAAACCCTAAGGGGGTGTTTGGCTGCCGGGATTTAACTTAAATGGTATTTAGTTAATCCGGTAAATCTGGATTTACTGAATCCAGAATTGTAGTAGTCACTTAATATTAAATCCAGTTAAATCAGTTTGATATGTTTGGCAATTTATTTCATGAATTTACAGCAGTTCATTTCAAGACGTACAATAAACTTGGCAATACAGATTTTTGATAAGCGAAGGGCTATCAAGTCCGAATTTGAATTGCAAACCTTGGTGAAAGGCTCGATTAACAAAGGCACCAATCTCGAAACTGTGAGGCGATCATCAATCTCATCCAAGTAATTGTCAAAATGAGGAAGCAGGGACTTCTCGTATTGTGTTGATTCATTCCCAATAGTATCAGTTTCATTAAAATTGGTGTTAGAAATCATGTTCTCCTCAGCCACAAAAAAAAGTCATATAAATCACTAACACATCAACCTTAACCTAAGCCTCAATCATTTGTTGCATAAACCAAATGATCTGTTTCTCCTAAAAAAATAAAAATATCAAGCTCACAAGAAGAATTGGTAAACTGCACAGCTGAAGTTGAGTAAGAATAAATATGTATCAAACCTAGAGCTAAATTAGGAGGTAGGATTAACATACCGAAAGAACTTTAGAGATTTTAGTTGACTAAGTTAAAGAAAATTAGTAAAGTTTGTTAACATTATATGTATGCTCAACCAACTATAAGCGGTATGATGTTGCATGGACACCACTCACCCACATTTACATATGCAGCAACATAGTTGAGCAACTTCGCCAATTACATGTAGCACTACAACCACAAAAGCACATACTCAATTATTCTCGCAAATTGCACCACACAAATGCACAAATGAGTAGAGTGACTTTCTGCTAAGGTGTAATATTTTATTTATCTCGTCTTCCCTTGAACTAACAAAAAAGACAAGTAAATTCCACCAAGTCTCTCATCAACTGCTGTAATAGCCTTTGAGTCAATTACACAAACATTTTTTAATCAAATACAATATCTTAAATAGAAAATCAGAATAACAAAGAGCAGTGAACTTACACGTGTTGCTCATAAATTAGTTGCAATAACTTCTTGTACAGCGTCTCAAAGTCTCTCACCAACGATTGTATGCATATTGGGGTCTTTATGAATGACAATAACCTCACATAGCTTATCATTATGCTCCATCTCAGTTTGTGATATATTAAAATATAAACCACTCCCATGATAACATCTAATGTTATTTTGCAAAACCGTACAACCCATCACAATGTCCATTTGTAACTTAATTGGGAACTTTTGCATGTGACTTAGAACTTGAAATCTTTCCTTCAAAATCCGAAAGTTCTTGCAACAATATTACGCAGTTGTGAGCGTAAATAATTAAATAACTCTCATGGTATTGAGTATCAATGGGTTATGATTGTATGGTAATCACTCAAACGGTAATGATATCTACTGAATGGTACTAACATCTTCTCAGTATTTGTTTATCTTGAGTAAATAAAAAATATTTATTTTCAGACACCTTAAATTCTCCTTCCTCTACTAACCATCACAATAACCTCATATCGATAGCAGACACTTCCCAACCAGCGACGATGTAAATTATCAATCAAAAGTAATTGCGGTAATTACATTTTGTGATGTAAATCCTTTTCTATTGCAGTATTTATTTTGTGATTGTCTGCAGAACACTATTAGGATATGAGTTCTATCAATTGCTCTGATAGCATTTTGAAAATACGGATAAAACTGTGCATTTTTTCATATAAAAGAATCACAACTTGCTTCTATCGGGGACACAGTAATGAAGTCTTTTGATAGTGATGTAATTGCTCATAACACTAGATTAAAATACTTACTAACTGTTTTTAAAGATTGCTTAAAAAATTCACAAAGTTGCCTGTATCAATGAGCATGTGTCACTCATCTAAGAATAATTTTTAATTGCTCTGCAATATCTATATTCTTAGTATCAGTTAATAGTCCTTGGTTAAGCAATAAGTCCCTCAGCTATATAACAACCTTTGTTGGAAACTTGAAACAATTATGTGATCTAGTTGGATGATCGACTAGCACATCCATAACATTCTAATGCTCACTGTAGGATCTGTCAAACATGGGTTTTGGAATATACTCATTATGATCCTAGGTGTATTCCTCCATATTAGAAGATATTAACTCGGTTATAATATTGGTTAACTGTATTTATGTGTCAAACCATTTGACCAATTTCATCCGGAAATGTACCCCTCAAAAAATATGAGATTGTTGCATTTTAATTAAAATTACATTAAAAAACTTGTTAATAGGTGACCAGGTTTGATGAGTACACATATTGACACAAAAAGTTCTATTCATGGAGGCGTGCTATAAAGTGGCATCAAAGAAATGTCTTAATAACATCATACTTATTCAAAATTTCACAACAACAGCTCAAAAGGATTTCAAGTTTCTAATTATTACCCAAAAAATGAGTACAGAGGCGTGGTATAAAAAATGATAGGTTTGTTTTGGGCATTTGTGCATACTAGTAAAAGTGCATATTCACTGTGCTCTACAAGTTAGGATAAAATATGTTTAAAAAATATCCTAAAATGGGTCATTTACATACATACCACACAATTCTTATGGAATTACATATCTAAAACCTAAATATTCATATTTACATACATACTACTGAAATCTTTAACATCACATAAAAAATACCACCATCATTATCTTTTTTAATATGAAATACAACTTTTATGCGTAGGTTTTTTTATGCATAGTTTTATGACCAAGGTGTTGCAAATCTAAATATCAAACTTTAGGTTTTGGATATGTAAATGGAGAAGAATTGTGTCATATGTATGTAAATTTTCCTAAAATCTATGAATAAACAGTATTATGCTTCAGGTCATTGATCATATTTTTTTAGTTAGCCAATTCATTAATAATTGTCTAGAATTTCATTATATGTATGCTCATAAGCTCTATTTATGACTATAAGCTCACAACAAGTAATGTTGGTTCCACAAAAAAAGAGAGAGAGAGAGAGAGAGGAGTGGTGGCTTCCTTTTTTTCTGTTATGTTCCCTTGATTTCTATTTACATTTGCTTCATTTGTTTTTTGTTTTCAAAGAGCTTGTGAAATAGAAGATTATTGACCGAAGTGGTAGTTATGTAACCGTCAGAACAACTTTACTTTATTGGGTCTAATTAAATTGTGCAAAATTGTACAAGCCATCACAATGTCTGCTTATAACTTAATTGGGAACCTTTGCATGACTTAAAATTTGAGATCTTTCCTTTAAAATCCCGAAAGTTCTTTCAATAGTATTGCACACTGTGGTGCTGAGTATTTAAGGGTTATGGTTCTATGATAATCACTCAAATAATAATGATATCCTCTGAAGTGTGCTATTATCTTCTTAGTATTTTTATATTTTTAGTCAAACGAAGAATATTGATTTTCATGCAATATAAATTCTCCTTCTGTTGGCCACTGTAATTCTCTCATATCCGGGGCAGATCCTTCCCAATCAGCGACAATGTATAAAAATTATCAATAAAAATAACAGTGGTCATCACATTTTGTGAGGTAAATCTTTTTCTGTTTTGGTACGTATTGTGTGATTGTTTGCTGACCAATATCGTGATATGAGTTTCATTAATTGATCCGATAGATTTTGAAAGTATAGATTAAACTGTGCATTTGTCCGTATAAAAGGGCCATAAATCGCTTCTATATGTGGCACTTTAATGAACTCTTTTGATAGTGATGTAATCTCTTGTAACGCAAGATTAAAGTACCTACTAATTGTTCTACTAATTGTTGCTGAGGAGTGCTTGAAAAATTCATAAAGTTACCTGTAGATATGAGCATGTGGTACTCCTTTAAAAAAAATTCCTAATTGCTCTATGACGTTCATATTCTTAGTATTGACTTATAATCCTTGGTTAAGTAATAAGTTCTTCATCAATATAAAGCCTCTATTGGAAGCTTGAAACAGTTATATGATCTCGTTGGATGATTGACTAGCACATCCATTACATACCGATGCTCTATGTAGGATCTGTCAAACATGGGTCTTGGGATATACTCATTATGATCCGAGGAGCTGTGTTCCTCCATAATAGAAGATATTAACTTAGTTATAACATTGATTAACTATATATGTGTGTCAAACATTTGACAAATTTCGTCCGGAAATGTCCCCTTAAAAAAATATGAGATTGCTGCATTTTAATTGAAATTACATTAAAAAAACTTGTAATAGGTGACCAAGCTTGATGAGTACACATTTTGACACAAAAATTTCTATTCATGGAGGCGTGCTATAAACATCTAGGCATCAAAGAAATGCCTTAATACTTATTCAAAATTTCACAGCAGCAGCTAAGAAGGATTTCAAGTTTCTAAGTATTACCCAAAAAATGAGGACAAAGGCATCGTATAAAAAGGATAGGTTTGTTTTAGGCATCTGTGCATACTAGTAGAAATGCATATTCACTGTGTTGTACCAATTAGGATAAAATATTCTAAAAAAAATCCTAAATGGGTCATTTACATACGTACCACACAATTCTTATGTATTTACTTATCTAACACCTAAACATTCATATTTAAATACATAACATTCAAATATTTAACATCACATCAGAAATATCACCCTCGCTACCATTTGTGAAGTGAAATATGCCATTTTATGCATAGGTTTATGATACCAAGGTGTTTCAAATGTAAATATCAAACTTTAAGTGTTAGATATGTAAATACAAAAGAATTCTATGATATG